TGATAACATGTTTGATTAAAGAAAAAGAAAAAGAAAGAAAGAAAGAAAGAAAGAAAGAAAGAAAGAAAGAAAGAAAGAAAGAAAGAAAGAAAGAGGGAAAGAAAGAAAGAAAAAAAGAAAAAAATGAAGAAAGAAAGAAAGAAAAATTGCTATCCAAAAATGCATTAACCAAACAAAGAGGCAAAAAGGTATTTGCTTTTATTCCCAACGTTCTGCTCTAGTAATGTCCACTCTTCTGTGCATTAGAATAGCTGCAATTAGACGATCCATCTTGGCTTTGTTTCATGGATGTATTACGTGCACTATGAGTTCTTTACTGATTGGAAGCCATTATGGAATTTGATCAAGCTATCATGCATGGTAATAATATTATGCAAACCAAGGCACTCATTCACTGCATGACTCTGCTTGCATCAGGTAAGATTTTTTTGATATAAAGATAAAAAAAACTTTATTTACTCAATCGTATATCGAAACTCGAAATCTTATTCTATCCATGCACACGCATCCTCGGCAAAAAAATCAAACAAACTTCAAGATGCGTGAGATTTTGCAAGTGGTTTTTAATCAATTCTGTCGTCCAAAATAATTAGTATTACTGAGCTCGAACCAAGTTTAACGTTTTGAAAACTGTTTGCAGTACATCTAAGTCATGGAATGTCGATTCGTAGTGGAATTTCAGTTTTACGTAATAACAGCTTAGTAGTGAAATACGAGATTTGATGCTTTCGAGTATGAATTTCCGGACACTTAAATATTTTCCACATCTGCTTGTCGTCATCGGGATTCTTTTGAAGATCATTGATTCTAGCAAACATCACGGAAGGTCTTTCTACGTGTTTTGGGTCAAATATTGCAATTGTATATGTATCTTTATAATTATATTCGAAATTTTAATTTCACGTCCCGAAATCGTGGCCATCTTGGAGGTATTATTTGGTAACGCCATCAATATGGCTGTCAAGTTTAGAATAGTCTCCTTTGTAAAAAATTATTCAAATTTATCTAAATTTGAATGTTATGTAAATGTTTTTATGGTAAATAATATGTTTTTATGCTAAATATATTAATGAAGTAATATTTAAGGGAAGAAACAAAGTTGTTTGCCTGAACATTTTCTCTATATGACGAAAGAGAATACAAGATCCACTAACTTCAGTTCATTGACATCGTCGCTTGATGCAAAGTATTGGTTTCAGTTTAGGGGACTTTTCTCCCCTCTCTATGACCATTATTATCAAAGTGGCCTACATACCTCGATTCTTGTCCAGTTTTTTTTGTTTCGTATGTAGTTTGCGGCACCGACTTACCTTTATAGTTCAGTTTCCAACTTATGTCTTGCTTACTTTATGTAGGTCTATTTTGAAATATTTGTTGCGCGCTTTTAATAACTACAGCCAAAATGCAAATAGAGCGTTTTCCCTTGACGGCACAGCGGCCATGTTGGAGTACCAAAATGATACATTTTCTATCCTTCGGGGAATGTTTATGCAAAAAATGTGCAAGAAGTTTCTATTGTTTGGTACACCAATATGACCACCTTGTCACGTAAGGGAAAACGCTCTATAGGAAAACATCCAAAAGAATTATAAAAGCTTTGGGCTTCCCGTGGCATGTGACTGCGAATCTAGCGAACAGCAGTTGCTTCTGTTTTACAAATTGTTTTATGATTAACATTTTATGCTTACGCTTGAAATTTAGGTAAATTGTAATCTTTATATTTAATATTTATTCGAAACATATATTGTTTAAATAAAAAACTTTATCCATATGTCCATGGCACTGAAATGGATTTCCCTGCGAGCCAATTCGGCCAATCACAATGCCGCTTTAAGAGAACCATTTCGTAACCGCTTCAAAGGTCTGCTGTAGCTTTACTTTTATTGCTGGTTTGACATACTCTAGTTTTGATCTGGAACACTGTGCGGTATTCAATGAATTCCATGCAAAAAGGACTTTTAATTTATTCTCATTCATAAAAATTCACCTGTCAAACACAAAGCATTCAACCGAGGCTGCAATGCTTTATGTTTGACCAATGAACCGATCCATAGAAAGCGGTGAATAACAAATTAAAGACATGGCCGCCATGTTGGTTGACTGAATTCAATCAAAATGGTGATTCATTTAAACCAACAATACTTTTAAATGTTTGAGAGTTTGGTACGGTTATAAATGTAATATCAAAAAAAAAAAAAAAAAAAAAGCTTTTTTTTTTCTACTTACGTCGAATGTATGTTTCACAGAGAGGAGTGAGTTCTTTCTCGGTATAAATGCAAATAGTAGAAAACAGACTGCCAGTTTTATTCATGTAGAAACAGTTCCCTCCCGATATCTGAGCTTCCAATGTATTTTTCCATCCCAAAGTTCGTATCACTTCATTGTCAAGGTTTTGTCCTTTCATCCATGTAATCGAACCCTTACCATTCCTTTTTAATCCAATGGCGATTAAGATATTTTTCTTGATATTTTTAATGGTGGTCACCGCAGATTTTGCCTCTCTGGATGAGAGGAATACTGCAAGACTGGCGTTTATATTTGAACATCGATAATTAGCTTGTTTCCAAGAATGAACACCTCTTCCTTCAACGAGCGGAATAAAGATTTTAATTCTGTTTTCGTGAACTTGAACGGCACCTAAAACATCAGTTATCTTGTTTACAATATTATTACGGTTTATTGAATGCAGAATTCTTATATGTTATCAAAATGTCACTTTAATATTTTATATAGGGATTTAGCTTTATTAATATTTATTTTTAAAATGATTTATAGTTATCAGAACGGTTGTGTTGCAGCTGTTGTTGGTGTTATTTTTGCTATTGTTGTACTGCTGTTTATGCTGCTGCTGCTGTTGCTGTTGTTACTGTTGCTCCTGCTGTCGTTGTGGTAGTGCTGTTGCTGTTGTAGGTGTCGCTATTGTTGCTGTTGTTGTATTTGTTAATTACTGTTGTTGTTGTAGCTGCTGTTGTCGTTGTTGCTGTTGCTGCTGTTGCTGCTGCTGCTGCCGGCTGTTGTTGTTGTTGTTGTTAATTGTATTTGTTAATTACTGTTGTTGTTGTAGCTGTTGTTGCTGTTGCTGCTGCTGCCGGCCGTTGTTGTTGTTGTTGTATTTGTTAATTACTGTTGTTGTTGTAGCTGCTGCTGTCCTTGTAGTTGTTGCTGTTGTTGTACTGCTGTATTTGCTGCTGCCGATGCTGTTGTTACTGTTGCTACTGTTGTCGTTGCGGTCATGCTGCTGTTGTTGTAGGTGTCGCTATTGTTGCTGTTGTTTTTGTTTTGTTTTTCGATTTTTATCGTTGTTTTATGTTTTGTAATCAAATTTTATAAAATTTTAGCAGCCAACAAATAGAGTTTTAGTTACGAAAAATAAAATTCGTGATTTTTCAATTCTGACACTTCTTAAGAACGGACTCAATATACGGAGTGGCGCAAAATCTAGTCTTTATGGTCCTTATACAGCAAATCGCAGCTGCTCTTTTCCTTGCTAAATATAAAGCAAATTCATAAACATTTTTCACTGGCTGTAAAAAACTTACCCAAGAACAACGTAAATAGGAGAAAAGTCAAAAGCGTCAGTAGTTTAATGAAATCCATCTTGAATCTTTCTGCGTACCTGATGATGTCTGATAGTCAAACAATGAACCTAGAAAAAAAGATGTAGATAAGAAGACTGAATAGAAGTAGAAGAAGAAGAAGAAGAAGAAGAAGAAGAAGAAGAAGAAATGGTTACTTTTTGAAGACAAAAGACATGGTTTCCCTTCAGCTGGCTTTCCATGAAGCCGAAGTGAGCATTTGCAATTTTTGCGTATTGTAAATTAGACAGCTTCGAATGAAGAATGAAAAAAAAAAAAAAAAAATGATAAAGGGTCGAGGTAACGACTTATAATGGTGGGCATCCAACAACAACAACAACAACAACAACAACAACAACAACAACAACAACAAAAAACAAACGAACGTACACTACCTCTATCGAAGAAACTGGAAAAGATTGGACGAAAGAACAGCAAAGATGAAGACGATGACGACGAAGACGATGAAAGAGATGATCGTTGTAACTTGTTTGTAACTATGTGCATGTAACTATGGAATAAAAGGATTGGTAACACTCGTGTAAAATGTATCTACAAGCTCTCTCCTATAAAATCACCTCTCAAGTCCTCATCAACGAAAGAGCTGGCTTAGCTCTAGGTAAAGAATCTCACTAGAAGTAATGAAGGATGAAGGATAACATGATGCTATACTACGTTGGCTGGTTTATTGGACTTAGCTGTTTGTCTTCCTGTACAAATATTGAATTATTATTAACAAGACTTTTACCCCGGGAAAGTTTGTATTTCCCCATCAACATCCGGACTAAAATAAGCGGATTTTAAACTTTCGAATTTTTCGATCTTAGACTTGACATTTTTGGCAATCAAAAAAAATTAATAAAAGATAATTTAAAAAAATGGTAGTTACGAGATAAGACTTTTAAAGTTACTGTCAGAAAAATCAAGAGAGCCAAGATATTTATGTTCTCTTGGAAGAGCTGATTATTATCATTTTTTTAAATAAGTGTGCTGCCACCAAAAGCAGACTTAATTTCATAGTAAAGAAACGAAGAAATAGAAAACGCACGCGCGTGCTGTGTGCAGTCATAAAGCACGCGGGGGTCGGCAGAACACGAGAGAAGTGTTAGTAGAAGTATGACGCGTAGCGGAGTGCTTCTCGACACTTCTTGACTGTTCTTCCACTCCTCAAGTTCTTTATAACTCCACACAGCACTACAAGCAAGCTTTTTATTTCTTTTATAAAATGTAAAGGGCGCGTGTGTGCTGTGTGCTCTCATAAAGCACGCTATCCCAACCAATCAGAATGCGAGATTTTTAACAATTATCTTAAAACATTCAGTTTCATTGCATATAAACTCTTTGAATTCTCGTTGGACTGATATTTTGATGTCCTTGATATTATGATTGCAAATTTAAGATGATTGAATTGTTATTCGAGTAGAAATTCATAATATCTTAGTTTAGGATTGTGAGGTATTGAAATTCGAAATATTCCAATTAATCTGTGTTATCATTTTATCGGTTTCTGAAATAAACTAAGAAAATAATTAGATTAAAAATAAAAAAGAGAAAAGAATAAAAAAAGAAAGAATGCAATTGAGCGATAATAATATTGAATGAAGTCAAAAGAAAAGAAATGAAATAAATTTCAAAGCGATAAATTCAAATCAAAAATAATTAAATAAAGGCTAAAGATGAGAAAAAACGAAAACAAAAGATAGTAAAGATGAAAAAGCATTATAAAAAAATGATAAAAATG